AAGAAAGTGCAACCCATTAAACTTTCATTTCTTTTTCGATTCTGTTCTTCTCTTCTGGATCTCTTTGAGTAATTGTATTTCGATTCCCTTCAGCTTTCCTTATCAAGTGCTTAATTTTCATTCATTTTCCCACTTTATTTACTCTTCAGTCAAAGGCCAATTCTTGTCAATAATGAATTCAGTGACTAACCTAAGAAACATGTGCTTGCAGGTAAGATATTGGATTATGCCAAAATACTTCAAAGTGTTAGTACAAAGAGATGCCTCCTTTTAAGTTTAGCATGTCGGTCATATATATTGTAAGAAAAACAGCATGAGAATGCGATCGAATTGCCCATACACAATGGAATAAATAGATTGAAATAAAACAGAGTTTTCTTACGTCGTATTCTTTGATTTTTTTTTGTATTTTAACACAATCAAACAAAAGTAAAATTTTACACCAAAGTATTTGGTTTATTGGTTGGTGCATTATCTCCTTATGATTGATAGATGAGAAGTGTTTCATAAACATTAGTGTGTTATCAAATAGATTTCTCATGACGAGTTATGTTCAATAAACCTACATACTATGCAAGCACCTACATGTTAACTCTAAATATCTCTATACTTCAACTTATGAGATTAATTACTTACTTTACAAGTAAAAAGCATAACATGTGTCGGCCTTTGAGTGTTATTAAAGTCTTATCTTGATAATACAATGATTATAAACTATTTTGAAACAGTGCTTTGATACATAAGGATTTTATAATTATAACTTATTTATAATTTCTTTGCAAAGTACATTTGTTCCAAGAGCTTTATCTTTATAAATTAAAGTAGCTAATTATAAAACAATTTATAGATAAAGAAATATCTCTTTATTTCATAATAAAATGTTATAATAAATTTATTAACAAAGAATATGCACTACAATCTATGTTATTGGCTTTTGAACTTATTCCAACATATATATGAAACTAGAATTGAATAAGAAATCATTTACAGCCACTGAATCTAGAACCAAGCTAACATGAAGCAACCTGATCTGTGCCCAAAACCCGAGAGTCTATCTGCCTGCATTTATTTGTCTCCTTCCTTCAATATTGTTGTTGTAATAAGGACAATGTTTTTACGTTATATATATATATATATATATATATATATATATATCCATCTGTTGTACTTTTCTGATTCTAGAGCATTATAATAAATTCGATTAAAGATTATAATTTTTATATTAATTTTATAAATTTGACAGCAGTACAAAAATTTTTAACAGTATTATAAATAAAATGTAGCTATAAAGATTGTATATACTAACAGAGATGGTACTTTTGATATTGTTATTAAATGTGAAAAAATACAATTAAAAGATTAAATAACTCTATAATTAAAGATTTCATTATATAAAAAGATACCTTATCTAAACAAATATAATAAAAGCTAAAATTCATTGTAGTGGAAGTTTCTTTGCCTAACTTTTCATGACGTATAAATAATGTTAATTCATTTTAAAACAATTAGATATAAGTGGATTTGGTGGTTGTTACTTTGTTAAAAATTATATCCAGTTGGTATTATTCGTCCAAAATCATATGGTATCAGTATTATTTAAAATTTTGAGATAAGTGACATCAACTTTGGTCCAATGAGGCTAATAATTGTGTCGTAGAAAAATCAGATTGGTACAATTAGTGACGTATACATGTACATTGGCAACATGTTGGTGAGGTAGAGGATTGGATTTTTCTGTGTGATTTAATAACGAAGGAATCCCTTGATTCAAGTAATAAGAAGGTGGCTGTGATCACAGCTTTCTTAGAGAGTATTCATCAGAAAATCATAATGGAGACTTTATGTACCATCTTCGTGTTGATATCATGGCCACTACTCTTTCTTTTTCTGATCATCTCTTTTGTCATGATCAGAATCTTCACTGGAAAATCCATCAATGATCCTAACTATGCCCCTGTGAAGGGCAGTGTTTTCAACCAGCTCTTGTACCTGAACTATATCTACGACTACCAAACCCAAATTGTCAAAAAACTGCCCACTTTCAGGTTACTTGATTTTGCATATAGTCTAATCTTCACGGTCGATACGCGAAACGTAGAGCACATTTTGAAGACAAATTTTGACAAATATGCAAAGGGTGCATATCACCAAGAACTTGTTAGAGATCTTTGAGGACAAGGGATTTTTTCTGTGGATGGAGACAAGTGGCGGCAGAAGCGGAAGCTTGCGAGCTTCGAGTTCTCGACGAGGGTTCTTAGAGATTTTAGCAGCTCTGTTTTCAGAAAAAATGCTGTCAAACTAGTTAGAGCTGTTTCAGAGCTGACGGTGTCGGGTCAGGTTATTAAATTCCAAGTGAGTAACTCGATCTGTTTTTTTTTTGTTGACAAAGAGTCAAAGGTCAAATTTTGAGTGTTTAAGTTATGAAGTAATCTTGTTGCGTAGGACGTGTTGAAGAAATACACAATGGAGTCGATGTTCAAAGTTGGGTTTGGAATTGATTTAAATTGCATGGAAGGGTCAAGTGAAGAAGGAACTACCTTCGTGAAGGCTTTTGATGATGCCAATGAGTTGGTGTACATTCGCTACATGGATCCTTTTTGGAAGCTGAAAAGGGCTCTTAATATTGGCTCCGAAGCCTCCCTCAAGAGGAATATCAAAGTCATTGATAATTTTATTCACAATGTTATAAGCACCAAGAAGAAACTGCTAGCACTGAACCCAGATTGCGTGAGTCATATTTTCCTCTAATTAAATTCGTGGTTATATATATTTTTGTTAAATCGACACTTTATTAATGCATCAACATGAAACATGTTGGATGGAGTTGGGAAACACAGTAATCACTAGTCTGTTTTCCAGAAATTCCTACCACACGGGGCCAATTGCCCAGCATCCCTACAGCACCGACCCTTTTCCACACCATACAGCACCTAGATGAAACTTGTATTATCAATTTAAGCCGACTCAATACATTAATCTAACAGAATCTTATTTTAGTTTTGTTATTATAAAATTTCCTTATAGTTCGTTTTATGGTCTATATCTAATTATCACTCTCCTATGGAGGGATTCACAATAAGATCAACCTGATTTCTGTCCAAACAATTTTAATAATCTAGTAATTGTCCACTAGTGTTTGGCTGTAACTCCGACATAGTTTGTTCTCTTGTATTTTTCAAGTCTTTGTAACAGTAGACGAGTTCTTGTTTTGTGTTGCTAAAAGTTGATTATTTTTTCTTTTTTGGGAATTCAAGAATGTCAAAGAAGACATACTTTCAAGGCTTTTAATGGAGAGTGTGAAGAATCCGGAAACAATGACTGATCAATATCTAAGGGACATAATTTTGAATTTCTTGATTGCTGGCAAAGATGCTAGTGCCAATACTTTGTCCTGGTTCGTCTACATGCTCTGCAAGCACCCCTTGATACAAGAAAAAGTTGCACAAGAAGTGATAGACATCGCTTGCAGCCAAGGAAATGATGCTAGCGTTGATGACTTCATCACAACCATAACCGATGCAACTCTTGAGAAAATGAATTATCTTCATGCAGCATTAACAGAGACCTTAAGACTGTACTCCACAGTCCCTCTGGTAAATTTGCTGAAAATCTTCATAGATTGATTTTTGCTATATTTCATGCTAAATTGCTGAAAATAGTGAGGTTTGAAGTTTGGGATTTAAGATTTCTGTTTTTCTAATGTATGGATTGATAATATTAATTACAACATCTTAAATATAGGCATTTCTTCATTAAAGGAAAAGTCATAAATAAATAATTACATACTTACGTGGGTAAATGTGGTATCTTTATTGTACATCAAGGATGGAAGGTGTTCACTGGCGAATGACATTCTCCCCGACGGACACAAAGTCAGGAG